ACGCTACTAGCTTTTCATAAACTCGAATGATACTTGAATCAAATGAAGAAGACAATATGTTTCTAAGTAACATTAATAATTTTTTTAATTTTAACTTTACTTATTTAAGTTGTTTCACATAAATTATACTTTTCTTTTCAACAAATTAAAACAAAGCAAAGTTGTTAGAATATTTTTCCTAATTTTTTTTTAATATATTAAATTTTTATATGTTATTTTCTAAATATATAAATTTAGCGAAATTTGCACAGTGAAGAAATTATAATATTCGTTTTATTTTCTTTCTTCTATTTTATGTGACTAATTATTTTATACATATAACAAATATAATAATAATATTAAATTTTTGTAAAGTCGGAGCGCACAGTTCCTTTTCCCTCCCGAACAATCAGGACGCTCGGAAAAGTCTAGGAAGAAAGTCAGGAAACATTGTCGAGTCAGAGATAAAACAATTGATTTTACAAACACCGTGTTTTTCCTCTATAATCAAGTATTTTACTATTATTATAGAGAATTCACTGTTTTATTACTTTTAAACTTTACTTTACTACAAAAATCGATTTCTTCTTAGAACCGTACCACTTCTCATACGATATATACAGAAATACGTTCTCTACGAAAAATAAAAATTGATAAATTATGAGAATTTTTTTCAGTTTTTGCAGTTTTTATTTTTCAGAATGTTTCTTTTTCTCGATTACAAATCAACGGTTTAAATTAGAAATAATTAAAAACGATAGTAATCATTTTTTATTCGATGTTTTCAGCTTAGACGACCTTCCATTCTCAGGAGGATCTGCAAGTAAAGTATTGATAAATACATGCCGATAGAAATTATATAAGACTTAATTAGTATAATTACCTTAGTCATCTTACTCGAAATATTTGAAGACTGGATATTTAGGTGCAAAGGGTTCGTTAACACCATGCACGTATATAGAGTCCTTCGGATCTCTGATGCAAGACACTCTGTGCGACAAGGATTCTTCATATGATGGAGGAGCTATGTATAAAAGAATTTAATCTGTATCTACCTTGACAAGTTCTTAGGTTTGGATCAAAGTCGCGAAATAATTTTCGCGAACGAAGAATTAGATTTTGAAATTTTAATAGTGGTGTGCGCGTAAGATAATCTTATGATTACGATTCAAATGTGTAAAGAAATATTTCTTAAATTATTCTAAAACAGAACAGTATTCTCATCAATAAAATAAAATATAGAAATGTTTTACGTTTACAAATTATTTAAAAAGGAAAAAACAAATATTACTATCTATATGATAAAGATTGTTCGGTGGAATCTGTCAATTGAGTATTTTACGTACTATCAACAAAATCGTTCAGCGATGGTGTACTTGGAGAAGGTACAATATTAGATTCTGGAGTCACGTCTTCTCTCTTCGATGTAGATGGAAATACATCTGAAGAAGATGAAGCTGCAGGCGCCGGTATAAACCGCAGCGGTATTGTTCCAATTAAAATCGGATACTCTTTGACGATCTTATAGTACCTTATAGTGAAAAAAATTGATATAAAGTCATCCTATTGTTACTGAATGATCATCAAGCGCGTAAAATATTATCGTATAAAATAAAGTTACAATATATTTAGTCTATTACTGAGCTTTGGAGATAAATGTACGTACCAGTTTTTACTATGAAGGACGATACGGAGGATATATTTTAGATCAATTATATCGCAGAATTGTAGGTCCGAAGGTGGTATCGGTGGAATAAATAAACGTAATGCGATAGTGTGTTTATCGAGGTGTTTATCGAATGGTGTTATTTTTTGCACAGTTGCCACAGTTACTTTATCCTTCTTTTTCTTATCAAAGGGCGCATCCTCGCGGAACGAGGCGCGGAACTCAAGGGACTTTATAAGAAGAAATTAAAATTTGATAATTATTGTAGGATAGAATAAAATTTATATTTTGGCCAATCTATTGATTGAGATATCTTTGGCGAAAATAAAGATTGGAGCGTAGGTTGAGCGTAAAGGAAAAGAATGACAGAGACGTTTTTCTTTTAAAATGCTTCTTTTACGTTCAGCAGTTTCAATTTATGCTTCAAAGAAGTTTCATTTATGTTTCTGTCACTCTCCTCTTATATTCGATTTGCGCTTCGATCTTTATTTTCCAGAGTAATATTATATATTTACATAAATTATTTACAAACCTACTTGCTGTAATTTAACGCAGATTTTCTGCAATTCGTTAATAGTGGCGTTATGTTTTAAATCGAGGATTGCCTCAATCCATTGTCCGGGGACGAATCCTGTCATCGGTAATTTAATATGCACATTTATCAAACCATCGCTGACGCAGCAGAAACAGCAAGAGAAAGATTGGTTTACTTCATCGTCTATGCCGATCTAATATAAATAATCCATTATTAATTTTCAATACAATTGTTTGAATGAGACTATAAAATAGCTATTTTGTATATTCTGGTTTCCGAATATGAAGATAATAAAATCATAATATGAATTTAAAACATCGATTTTACTCACACATTGTTCACGACGAATGTTTAGGTCGTAAATTGTAATTACGGTGTATGCAGCTTTACATTCGTGATTGAATCGCCATGATCTAACAATGACCGCCTTTATCGTGTATCTGACATGACCAACATGGTGTTCAAAGCTGCATGGTAAATCGCATGGTAATTGGATACAAAAAGGATATCTACTCAATCCTGCAGGAATATGCACTTTTCCATCGTCTGAAATTAATAAAAACTGATATGTATAGCCTCTAAATATAATTTTATGTAACACGTGCATGGACGTGCACGCTACGCGTGCGTGATAGACCACTTTCCACGCACTTGCAACATAAAATAGGGTGTGTGCAAGCCGTGCGTAAAGATGAAAATTCCCGGGTGCGGTGACCGCACTCGCCTTCGGCTCGTGCATCAACTCCGCACCCGTGAATTTTCATCTTACAGCACTTGTTACACAAATAACTATATCCTTTCTACGTGGATTATAGCAAAATGTATCTATCTTAGCCATTTTACACTTAAATGAATATGCTTTAGGACTCTAATTTGTGTTACTCTAATTTCCATTAAAGAAATATTTATTTTCCAAAGAAAATAATCAAGCATTAGCGCAAGTATGTAATATATTCTTATATTATATTATACTATAATAATATAATAACATATTTTAATAAACTTTTTGATTGTCATGATATATGATTTTTTAATAGACGATACCTTCCGATTTTTCTAACAGTGAAATGGTCAATTCAAAATATTTTTCATTTGCCCTATAAGTCCAAGTGGTAGTTGTAGAATTTCCATTACAATCTGTCGAACTCGATTCCTCATCCCAACTGACGTTAGCCTCTCCCTTAGCCGATAATTTTAGTTCTGCAACAGCAAAGATTAATGATCATTTTAAAGTTTTACGTACTAAATGAAGAATTAAGAAAGCCATACTCTTTGTAATATAAAAAATATATGTATAATAGATACAAGTAGTTATAATACGTCAATTGGAATCATTTGAATATATGTAATTTGTTTGCAATTTATTTCCAATATGATGGACTTTATATAAATCTTGCTGTTAGTTCAAGCATATTCATATATTTACGTTTAAACTATGTATTTTAAAAATGTAGACTGTAAAGGTTTCATGAAATTTTGATTATTTCCTATTATTATATAATTATAAATTATATAATTTAAAAAATGCATGGTAATAATGTTATTATTATTATTATTATTATTATTATGTCGTACATATAAACGATATCAGAAAAAGATATTTCACATTTTAAAAGTTATCACAAGAATGATCTCATCACTCTGGATGAGTAATTAAATCATCCTATTCCAGGATTGATATATTCTGCAAACATATTCATTACATTGTTATCACTGATAATCCGTGAGTTGATAATCTCTACATCCGTTCAGATAACAGAAGTCTTCAAATACAAATTGCGGTATTTCTAAAGTTTCGAATTTGGATTTATGTAAATTGTGTTACAATCGGCAAAAGCTGAAAATGCTACACGTACACGGCACGCACTTAATTGTGTGCGGCTTCGAAGCCATTCATTTCACATGTTACCGAGACTGGTTTCTGGCACGTATACAGATATAATCTGTATAGATACTTGTTCTGGGAAGGACAGAACTCTTCAAAAGTTTTCGCGTTTACTTAGAGTATAAAATTTTGGATCATATTGTCGCGAGACAACTACCTTTTTTTTCGTATAAAAACATTTTTATGTAAATTTATCTTGAAATTGGAGAAAAAAGAAAAATAGAAAAGTGCACCTGATGCAAAACAATTCTATTGTGATTTCGTAGAGCATGGATATTTGCAAATTTTGCGATGACTTTATTTGATCGATATATTTTTAAAAAAACTAATTAAATAATTTACCTTCGGCAAGTTTTTCCTTTGCCAGATCGATAATAACGAAGCCGCTGACACATTCGCCGGGTATGTAAACAGCATCCGCGCGATCAAATTCAATGCGAAAAATTTTCAACGACGGCATCTTTCTGTCGCACTAATGCACTTGTCAGTCTCATCACCCCGTCATCGAGTTGACGACGTTGACGTTACGCATGATGACTACACTTGACCGATGTACGAACTTAAAAACGTCAAGAGATATCGACGTTCCCCACCAGGAGAATAAAATTATATCTTTGATATAAAAATTATATCTTCAAGTTACATGATCAGTTGATATCATTTTCTTCAAATATCACATTTCCGAATATCTCTTTTGATGTGACTACTTAATATAATTTTTATCAAACTCATTTTTAAATAAATGGAGCAGATATAAAAATAAGGAAACGCCAAATTTTATATGGAATCTAACGATTTATTATATCGTTTAGGAATCGAGTATCACAGAGATTGAAGCTCGATCATAGCTGAGATACGAGCTACAAGAAACTGCGCACCATAACCACGCATTGAATTATATAACATACTGGAATGAGCCTTTCCTATAGCAAGTTACAGATAGCTTACTGTCACAGGCTAAAACAGGATAGTTTGGTCATCGAAAATGTCTACTTTATGTAGCAAATTCTTTACATTCATATAGCAAAATTATGGAGAAGCATCATTCGCCAATTAGGAACAAAAATAAAAGTCTCTAAAATATATAAATATTCTTTTTTTTCCGTCATTTCAGTTTTATTATTCAGTGACTTTAGAATCCGTTCGTTTTCTGCCAACATGAAACGTAAAATAACTATATAGCTTTTCACTTTAGCAATTCGTCAGATGATTATTAATTTTGATAATAAGAAGACATAACATCATTTTGTTCATATGCATCCATACCTTTTTGCAAAAACTAATCACTCAAAAGAATCCAACTATTTTCATTGTATCGTTCGATTATTTAGCACAAATAAATATTTTAATGACATCACTACTTCACTATCGAGAGAAAGAGAAATATTTCAATTTGTTCAATTAAGCATACGTAGTACGTTTTATGACTCTCTTTATGTAAGTATATTAAATAAACAATTGGAAAGCATTTGGTTGTCTTAATCGATACGAATGAATAAATAATTTACGATTTATAGATTCTTTTAAAATTGCATTTAAAATTACTAGTTCTTCAATTGCGATAAGCTCGAATCGGCTTGAGTAATACGGAAGTATCATGGTAAATATCAAACATGGAATATAGTATTATCGCTCTATATATTTCTGATATTATAATATTGTACGAGATAAGCTTTCTAAAAGATTTTGAGTTATAATGATTTTTAGTTACAAGTTTTATTTTATAAATATTTACAAACTATATAAGAAAGAAAATGTTTATTGCTTGAATGGTGAATATCTTTGCATGGTACTTTCATTGGATGTGTCTGCTATCTGGCGGTCT